TTCACTAGCTAAGGAATTAATTGTGTGGTGCAGCTCCAGACTCCTCTCTGTTCGTGCAACACATGTGGTGGGCAGCTTGAACAGAGGGGCAGACCTTCTATCCAGAGGAAATCCTCTGTATGGAGAATGGAAACTCCACCCCCAGGTGGTGCACCAAATATGGCAGAGATTCGGTCAGGCTTCGTTGTGGCCATCCAAGCCGTGGGTGGCAGAAATAATCCAAGTGCTTTGGGACAAACCCTGGCCCCTGCCTGTCCGCAGGGATCTCCTGTCCCAGGCCAGGGGGTAGATTTATCACCCTCACCCAGACTGCTTGTCTCTGTGGGCCTGGCCCGTGAGAGGTGGAATCTGAGTGTGGCAGGCCTGTCCCCAACCATCATTGACACCATTCAAATTGCTAGGGCCCCCTCAACTTGCTCACTTTACAGCTGTAAATGGAGAGTTTTTGAGGTGTGGTGTGAAGAAAAACGCATTATCCCGTTTCAGTGTTCGGTGGTGGATGTACTCTGTTTTTTGCAGAGTCTGATGGACAAGGATAAAGCTTTCTCCACTATTAAGGTTTATCTGGCTGCAATTTCTGCAGGCCATGTGGGGTTTGGTGACAAACTCTCTCTTGTTCTGGAGGCCCTCTGTCATCATCTTTTTGAACATGTAGACGGGGCTGGATTGAAATTTCTTACTTTAAAAACTGCACTGCTCTTAGCCTTAACTACAGCAAAGAGCATGGCAAGGTCAGTCAGTCCCTCTTGTTTACAGTGGGCCCCTGGCCACACTATGGTGTGTCTGCGGCCCAATCCAGCTTTTGTGCCTAAAGGGAGTCGTCTTAGGGGCTCGACACACGGGAGGCGACAAACAACCGCGATCAGCGAAATTCGTCGCTGTCGCTTTTATTACCTGACACACGGGAGGCGGCCCGCGCCAGCGGCCAGCGGCAAAGCCATCTACGCATTCTGTTCCATGGCGAAACTGCAACTTCCGTTGTTTTGTTTGGCTGTGTCAGGTTGGAAGGAATTACGGTTATTTAAGCGGTTCCGAGTTAAAAAAGCGGTAGATATGATGTTTCACAAGGTGCTGCTAGAGTTATGTGAAATCTTACTTCTGATTTTACTATATAAAACATAATAATAATAATAATAATAATTAACTTCTCCTTCATATTTGCTCGGAAATGTACGGAGCATCCTGTCCGCTCATTGGTCAGTGAATGAAACCTCCCTTGATTGGTCCTCGTCCGAGTGACAGCGATGAAAAGTTGAAAATATTTCAACTTTCTGGAATCTCGTCGCTGGGTCGCCTGTGCACGACACGTGCACGAGCACAAAATTCACACGCACGTTTTTTGCGTTTCGCTTAGTAGGAGGGAGACCCGCGATTATCGCTTTGTCGCGCATGTCTCATTGAAAACAAATGGAGGAGAGGCGATGTCGCCTCCCGTGTGTCGAGCCCATTATAGCTGCTCCCCTGTGGAGCTGCTGGCTTTTCACCCACCTCCTTTTTCCTCAGCAGAAGAGCAGAAGCTTAATTGTCTCTGCCCTGTTTGAGCTTTAAGGGCTTATATGGGCAGGACTGCTGGTTTCAGAAAATCAGACTAGTTGTTTGTTTCTTGGACCATGGCCCATAAAGGCAAGCCAGTGTCTCACCAGAGACTGGCACAGTTGATACTAGAAGCAATAAGCCTTTCATATAGGTGTATGGGTGCTGAACCCCCTCTGGGGGTGAGGTCTCATTCTACAAGGAGCATGGCCACATCTTGGGCCCTGTTTCGTGGGGTGTCAGTCCAGGATATTTGTGCAGCAGCTAGCTGGGCCACGCCACTAACTGTTGTGCGGTTTTACAGGTTGGATGTGTCTCAACGTTCACTGGCGCACTCAGTGCTGGAGGCAGGATGCACAGCGTCTGCCAAGTGGTTAAACTGAATTTAGCTGCAGCCCACTTCGGGATGGACATGCAATCCGGGAGTGAGCCATATCTCCCATAGTGAAACACTGAACGAAGTTAGACAAAGAACATGGGGTTACGTTATGTGAACCCCAGTTCTTTGATAACACAGGGAGGTGTTTCACCAGCAATTCCCTTCTTGCTTTAACAGTAAGAAATCTTACGAATGAGTAGGAGGGGTTGGTTGGCCGTGGATATACTGGGTGGGTGGAGCCTGGGCACGGCACAACCGGTCTGTCAGGGACAGACATGTTGTCATTGGAGCTTCCATAGTTGGTCACGCCAGGGCAATTCCCATAGTGAAACACCTCACTCTGTTATCAAAGAACAGGGGTTTACGTTATGCTGTGGCGACTGGAGAGGAACTATGAAATAGTATTAAAGCTTTTGCTGTTTGAGTGTTCAAGTTGAATTCAAATAGAATATATAGTACATGAAATATATGATGATAATAATTGTATGTGTGATGTTAAAGCTAAAATGCAAAAGAGATAAAAAAAACTTGTTTACTTTATATCGATGAACTGGAACTTCATGGTGTCACACACTGAGTAGTCTCTGTACCACATTAGGCGAGTTGGGATCTAGTGAACCTAGCGCAGGTGTCAGCAACTCCAGTCCTCGAAGGCCACCATCCTGCTAGTTTTCTCAATCAATCAATCAATCAATCAATCAATCAATCAATCAATCAATCAATCAATCAACCCAGCATGTTTTAGTTGCTTCTCTGCACCAACACTTGCTTCAGTGGTTGAATCATGTGTGCAGCAGCTCATCAAGCTCTGCAGAAGCCTGGTGCCTCATTTATCAGCCGCTCTTACGCTCAGATCTGGGTGTATTTTGTGCGTAGGAACTAATATACACATTATGTGGTATTCTTCATTTTGTACTCGTGCATGGAAATGTTCCTACATATAAGAAAACGTCAGGCCATGTGTACAAACAGTATCTAGAGGTAGAACGTGGAACTGCAATACTGAAGGCCTCAGTCGTCCACACATGTTCCTCATGCACAAATTATTTTACCCAATAAAAAAATTATTTTGGCGGAAAAAAAGCAGTGTCACACAATTGTGGCTAAAACCTATAAAAGACACCTAAGACTGACAGACATCGTAACATGGCTGATCTTGAGTTTTTGGGAGGATTTGGCAAAGACGCCTGACTCTTTTTGTGTCTGGCGTCTCTGGCGCTGAACCAACCCAACACACCCACTACGGACTGATTGGCCAGCTGATGTTCATGCCTACCTTCAGGGTGAGGGCAGCATCAGCCAGCAGCTGCTGCCCACATGCGCAATTCATTATCAGTCTGGATGCAGTGGGGTAAACATCTTCTGTGACTGCAACCTGTTGCTCCAGCCATGGGAGCATAGGTTCATAGAGGTATAGGTTCAGAAACATTATGTGCCCAATGAGGTGAGCTGACTGAATGTACCGAATGACCTGATTAGTGTAGAATAAATGTTTTTAAATGCAGGTTTAGAGGAAGCTGGCCTTCTCGTGCTTTAAGTACTAGATTTCTACACCGTGTGTGTATTTATTTTAAAATATGTGCTTTCCCATAGTTTTGAGTTACATTGGTAACTGTTGTTGCATTTATGGACAAACTGGAGATTATTTACTCTCCTCAACAATTCAACCTGTCAAGTTCACTATTTACTGCCTATTGTACCACTTTATGGGTGTGAGATAAGAGTTAAAGGTGTGGTTGACTGAAAAAAACATTTTTATTATAATTTTTTCTGATTCTAACGGGTCACTCAAGAGTGTTTCATGCAGGCTGAACATGAAAATAGTCTCCTGCATTAGCTTCTGATAGAAAACAGACAGTGAAACTATAGGACTAGAAAAGCCTGACTGCTCTACGTTAAGCGGCCGCATGCTCACCCATCTTTACTCACGACAGGAAAGGCTGTTGTTGTTTTTCCCTCCAAGTAATCAGCAGAGAACTGTTAGCATTAGCAACTCCACCACACAGCAGAAGCTCCTCCAGGCTTATATTATTTATGGAGATATAACACCCATGCAAGTCAGTGGTAGAGTCACGTTGCTATTATCCAATCTGAGGTGAGATCTTAGGTGTGTTCTTGCTGTGTCGTGGTTCTAATTCCATACTGTCGTTCTTTTTTTAAAACACAGAAACTGTTTCTGTTTTAAAAAAAGAACGACAGCATGGAATGAGGATAGATGTTCAGATATAAGGAAATACTGCTCCAAAACCTGCCGTCTGAAGGTCAGCTGGGATGTGGGTAACTTCTAGTCCATAACCCCCGCCCCCCATTCATCATTCCTACCAGAGACCACTGCAAATGTATTGATTAAACACCTTTAATATTATTTAAAAAATAAAAAAGGAGACAAAAATTATTCTCTATTCATTCATTCTACATTTAAACTCTAAATGAGGTTTTCATTATTATCGTTGTTGTTATTATTGTTATTGTGCCAAAACAACAACATAGTCAACTTTAGGTTAATATTGAGGATGTATTTGCTCTACGTGCTTTATAGCCCAGCCTCATATGGAAGGTAAATGGAAGTGTTTGTTTTTAGGGGGCTCATTCCTGGGAAAACATCCATTTCTTTATTTTATTGCAAAACTAAATAAAGTTTTGTTACTTTACCTTGTTTAGAGAAACTAAAGTAAACAATAAAAAAATTAAATAAGATGCTGAAAAGAAGAAAAAGAAAAGAAAGCCAAAATATCTGTTTTTGTGTTTGTGCTCCATCTACTGTGTGTGTGTTTCTGGAGGGTAATTGCTGCTGAGGTCAGACTGCTGAGCAGTAAAGGGTTGTGTTTGATGCAGGTAAGAGTGTGTATGCATGCGTGTTTGTGTGTGTGTTTGTGTGTATGCATGTGTGTGTGTGTGCATGCATGTGTGTGACTGCTCTGCATGCCCTTGACTTGCAGCTGGCAAACAAGGCTTTAGGGCCCCACAGCTGCCTCATCATTACTGTTCACAGGGATCCCCTGCCACACACACACACACACACACACACACAGTGTGAGCCTTAGTCACAGCTACACAGACACAAACAGACACGCACAGAGACACTCACCCCTTCCCGCAGGCTCCTCATTAAGCCGGTGTAGGCGGTGGTGGGAATGAACCACAGTCCCTCTGGGGAGCCTCTCTTCTCCTCCTGGTAGAAAGGCATAGAAAGACAGGGAGGAAGGGTGAGAGGGGAGGGTGTACAGTTGGGGAGGTGGAGCAGTGGAGGAGTGGAGTGGAAATGGGAGAAAGGCAGACAGATAAAGTGAAGGAGATGGAAGTAGAGAGGAGCGAGTAAAGGGTGAGAAAAGGCCAAGTCAGGGAGGGGATTGGGGAGCACGAGGAGTCAAGACATCTTGATTACACGCTTCATCATCCCTGTGAGCAGCACGCTGCTCCACCTTCTAAGTAAAACCTGACAGTTGTTATTACAGAAAATACATTCATTAGTTTAAAATATTATTTTTTTTTTGTCCTCGAGACAATAGCTAAAATAAGCTTTAAGATGCTGTTTAAAGCTTCTTTTTTAAACAGAAATCACTCCTAAATATCACACAGTCATTTAAAACAGTGTTGTATTTCTTTAAGAAAACTAGAACAATGTCTGTGCATTTGTTTGGTTGAGACTACTTCTACTCAACGCAGTATAATTATGTGTGTGTAATAAAAACTGATCATTCCCCAAGCTGGAAGTTCATTTTTTCCTGTATTTTTGTGAAACGGTGATCTGCTCCTGCGCTGCTGTGCCCGAGCTCAAGGCTACATCTAACCTTGAGGAACAGGCAGCATTGTGAGCCCAAGGTAATCATCAGTGAAGGCTTCTAAAATAGATGATTGGATGGTTGTAAAACAGTCAGTTTTCTCATCTTAAAGGGATATTACACATTATTTCCAAATGTGTGGATTTCCTTCATCCAGGTTTTAATCCATCCGACTGCTGAGCATAATAAACTCATTTCATTCTGCGCATCAATCCACCACAAAACGAGTTGAAGCAACAGTATTCCTACCTGAAGCTGGAGAAGAAAGTGTTTCCCTGAACTAGTTGGTGTTTGAAATAAAAGAACCAGTCTTGTTCATGTGGAAGAGGATGCTACTCAGACAGATGAAGGTTTTTTTCTACTCTACAAAATCAGAAGCACTAAAAGTGTTGAGTCAGTTAACTCAAGGAAGAAAAGATGAAAACGAACTCCAGCTCCAGAGTTTGACCTTTTCTGGAAGAGTAATGGGGAGCTGATTGATTTTGAAGGTCATCCATCAGTCATGTAAATAAAAATCCTTGACTTCATTGACTTGCTTAGTCAAAACAAGGTTAAGCAGAAGTAAATTGGCAATGCCCTTTCTAATGAATGAGACCTTCTCCACACTTTCTTGTGATTTTCAGGAAAAAGGGTCAATTTCCCTTTAAGTCAGCATGGATTATTAAGCCAGTGTTCAATTCCATTCACTTCACTCAAGATTGGTCTTTCTCACTGAGGTAAATTTCCAACTCTGGCATGCGACATGAGTGCTGCTGCTGCGCATGGCTCACTCATTTAAAACATCATTTTACTTAAAAGTTAGAAAAGGGTGAGATTTTTGTTAAATCATACATTTTCTTTCATTTTGCATTCAACCAATTCTTAGAGGCTGGTGTTAATATCAGTTAGCCTGTTCTGCTGCTGTTAGGCTGCAAGTTTACAGGGTGGGAAGCAGATTGCGCATGTGTCAAAAGGTCAAGACCACTTGAAAAAGGCCCAGAAATCATGGTTGGATCTTAAAGTAAGTAAGCTTTAACATGCAACAAAAAGGAACGGAAGTGAAATAAAACATTTTCTGAATGGCAATCTATTGAGGACAACACGTAAGCCTGATTTATACTTTTCCGTCTGCGGGGGGTAGAGACATGCAAAACTATTATGGGTCAACACAACGGCTCTGCACAGCCGCAGTGACATGCCCAACTTTTTAACTGTCCATCAAAAGACTGCAAGCTTGATTGATGAGGACGTCTTTTCCTTTGAATTCATCAACAGCACCGCCATCCCACTCAAAAATGAAAGAGCACTGAAGATATCTAGAAGGGGAGAAGATTGAAGAACATCTCACAGAAACAGTCTAATGATAGTAGCAAACTTTTTATTCATGGACAGAAGTCACAGGAAACGTGGTTTTGGTGGTGGTGAATGCATGAAGAGATGCAAGAGAATGTTAAAAATGATCTGAAACACAAACACACAAGTACACCATAGGGAGCCTAAGTCACGCCCACCTACTTCCAGACCATGGGTCCTCGGAAGAATGAAAACAATAATGCAAGTCAACGGGGCTAAAAACGCTTTTTTCTAATTCTGCTTGTTTTGTTCCATGGATTTCACATATGATGTCTGAATTTTAAAGGGTGGTGGGGGGCTGGTGCCTATCTCCAGCGGTCAATGGGCAATCAGGCGGGGTACACCCTGGACAGAGAGCCAGTCCATCGCAGGGCAACACAGAGACACACAGGACAAACAACCATGCACACACACACTCACACCTAAGGACAATTTGGACAGACCAATCAAACTAACAGTTTTTGGACTGTGGGAGGAAGCCGGAGTACCCGGAAAGGACCCACGTGTGCACAGGGAGAACATGCAAACTCCATGCAGAAAGATCCCAGGCCGGGAATCGAACCCAGGACCTTCTTGCTTCAAGGCAACAGCTCTAACCACTGCGCCACCGCGCAGCCCAGAGTCAGTATATTGTTCATAAAATGAATGTAATTATTTTTCCTAAACTAATGATATATACAAGATATGAATAATGAGATGTGATGTGGTGGATGTGAGGTGTTGTGATGGAAGCTAGATGTTGTAGCAACCGTTCTTTGTATCTGAGAGAAATTGTGAAATCTGGGTGTAAAAGAATTTGTTGTTTGTTATAAACTAGAGTTGTTTTTTAAAAACAGCATCAGACACAATCTGTCGTGCCAAGTCTACGCACCCTTGGTGTGGAGGTTCTCGTTCGATCTCGGGGGTCGATGGTCACTGCTGGTGGAGTGAACTCTGATATCAGGAACCCGTAGACAGTTCCTATAGGACCCATCCAGTCTGAGATCCCTCGAGGTGAAGGCAGGAAGCTGGAATGCTTATTTGCATCTAAGGTTGATGTTTGCTTGGCTCTTAGAAGAGCCAGTTGTCTGGTATCAGCCGTAGCGTTGCAGAGGGGCTTTGACAGCAGGTCAAAGGAGAAGATGGTTTCAAAAAGTTCTTTAATATATATATAATAATAATAAATGCTTCTTTCCCGAAATGGCCGGTTCGAGAGCCAGTGAGAAACTGAATTAGCTGGGAAGTAATTCTTGTTTTCTTAGAGTACTTTGTTATGATTTCTGGCCAAGTTTGGCCAATCAGAATTTTACATGTTTCTGAGTATTTACCAACATCCCTCAGAAAGCCACGGCTTCTTGCAGACACAAAGATGTTCTTAACACACAGTGTTAAGAACCTTCAGTGTGTTAAGAACCTTTAAAACTCTTATGTGAGGTGCCTTTTAACCTTAATGAGTTTCTTATTGTAATGTGTATGAGTGTAGACAATGATTAACTTGTTAAATCAAACACACACTGATTTGTGACATAAACCGATCATTGTGAGAACAACATTCATTTTAAAGCCACCATTGGTTTAAGCACCGGTTACTCAAACATTTCATTTAAACTAGGGCTGGGACTTGATTAAAAATTTTAATCTAATTAATTACAGGCTTTGTAATTAATTAATCTCAATTAATCACATTTTAATCATTCAGGAAAATGTGCTCTCAAAGTAAAACTTTTAATTAAAATTATGAGATAGAGAATCAAACATTAGACATGGTTATTACTGTAAACTAAAGCTTTTAATAAAAAATGCATTTTAATTATTCAAATGTCACTGTGTGATATGAAACAAAACCCAAATCAACTATAATTTATAATTACAAATAGAAAAGACCTGCAAAGGGTTCCTGAGCCTTTAAATAGTCTCTCTGTTTAGTTGAATTACTGAAATAAATTAGACTTTGCACCAGATTCTAATTTTTCCAGTTTCACTTGTTTGTATAATTGGGAGTTTTTATTAGCATTTCTACTCATAATGTAGTAAAAACACATAAATAATAATCCTTCAAAATGACAGTAGAACAGGCACAAATATGATCTAGGACTTAAATGTACTAACTTTTAACACCAGAGCAGGCATGGCATATTCTGAGAATGATCAGGAATACTAACTGGTTCCAGTTGGATGACTGGAGGATGATGGGAAGATAAAAGATCATGGCGAGGAAATAATGATCTGACGAACAGGTGAGCGGATCTTCCTTACATGGGAAGTCCTGATGTCACGTTAAGAAGGGGATGCTGCAGAGTCTGCAGATTCACGCCTGCTGCAGAGAATCTGGTGTGATCTCCAGCCTGATCACAACTTTCTCGTTCCTCGCTGCCCCGATACACTTAAGCATCCGCCCCTTAGCTGATGACAGCTTCAACACAACTCGCTGCTTAATGATAGTAATGCATGTGATGTTTAGACAGAGACTCGTCTCAAAAACAGAATTGTTTAGAAAATCATCAGAAAAGTTTCAGAGTGTTTCTGTTTTAAATTAAACTTCTGTTTTCAACTGTAAGACACGTTGTTTGTGATTGTTTACAGAGTAGTGAGAACACGGAGCGTTCTCCCAGCGGAAGCCGGGTGCCTCTCGTTTGTCTGACTACTTTCATAAACTACTGTTAGGGCACAGAATTATTCTGTCTGGTGCTTTCAGCGCTGCACAGATGTTACGTAAATGTTAAAAATACAGCTTACCGCAACTTTTGTAAAGTTTCCGGTGCCACCGGGCAGCCGCAGCAGTGACGATCTCTGAAAAATGTCCGCGACACGGACTCCGTTGTTGTCTGGAAGTTTTTTTCCCAAGTTAAGGAAAGAGGCGGACGTGTTTCCTAAATCCTGCATCAGTCCAAGCAAGGCAACTTCTTTCTGTTTTTATTCTGTTTTAGTAGCCATTAGCACTGTGCATTGTTTTGTGCGTCGGTGATATTCAGTCTACGAGGAAATCGTGCAATGACAAAGGTTCCGCCGTGCTTGAAATGCAAGCTGCGATTAAATGCGTAAATTTTTTTAAAGCGGCATTTTTTCTAATTAATTAATC